TTAAGAAAGTTCAAAATAACATTTGTTCGATTTTTCAAGCCATTCAAGCGGCATAAGGTTCGAGACCAAAAAATATGTTCAAACCTTGGCATCGAAATATTCTTTAATTTAATAGCAGAAGTACTCGAGACAAGATTTTTCACACTTTCATGATGAACCCATTTGTACGACATTTGAAAGTATCCTATTTTCTAACAAAATACTATAAAAAATATGTCTGACGTTAATTTTGCCATTAAAATTATTTTTGAAATACTTTTCATATCTAAAGTCACAAAAAATTTTGATTTTTGTATAGGAGCCATGTCTGTATGCTACCTTAATGGCGTGAAACTTTGTACAGGTTATTTTTTTCACAAAAAAATATCATTCGGAGGGTTTGAAGCCTCCAAAGTCGCTCAAAATCTAATGATTTCTATTCCTCGCGACCCCCAATCATCCTGTAAAGTCAGATTTTGAATTAAGTTTCTACGATGAGCGCAATCTTGCTAACAAATTTTGCGTACGACGTACAGATTAACAAAAACCATGCTCAAAACGGCCTGATTCGGGTTCTCTGACCTCAGAAACGTCCAGAAAACATGTTTCTGAAGTTTTCAAAATTTTGACCGATTACAATACTTTTCACCTTACACTATGTGTGCGGAAAAGTAAAATGATTCTTTTTTTCAATTAAACAACTTTTATTTCTTTAAAAAACATTTTATTGAGTTTTTTTTCTGACAAAGGCTAATGAGCAATATCGAGTGAGCAGTTTTATCTCATTTAAATAAAGAACTTTTATGTATGTACGTACTTTTTTAATGCGTTTGTATGGGATGGTTAATGATAAGACATTTTTGTTCATTGCGAGGTCAAGATTTAGTTGATATCTTTTTCCTTCTATGTTATGAAATTCCCAAAACTGATAATAATTTGTAATTTGCAAAGCAGAAATGAAAATAAAATTATAATAAAATATTAAAATCGAGCAAATATTTCAACTATGGATTTATTAATAAAATAATATTTAATTCCAGTGATTCGTTTAATGCAAGTGTTCATTGCGTAGAAAATGTGATTAAAACGTCATTTGGTACCGACTAGTAATTGCACTTGGTACTAGAAACTAATATTTAACTAATATGCCTTGAATTTTTATCACTAAATGCAGTCGTAGCTGAAGTTTTGAACGTAGCACACGTCATTTTCATTGCAACCATCAAGTGAAAAAACCATCAAAGTACAAAATTGAGTTAATTTTTTTAAAAGTTATTCCACACACCAAAATGCGTTTCGCTATCGTTTTAATGGTATTCTGCCTCTTTGCATTGGTAGCTTCTCAAAGTGGTATGGGACTTCTATGATTGAATTTATTTACATTTTTATTATTCACTATCGTTCTACAATAGGAGTAATTTCAATTTTGAACATGTATTTTTTTTTTCAATTATTGATCAGGTCCATCCCATGGCAAATCGGTTATATGCTACAGTATGGCAGAACCATCATTTGCGTTGGAATCCTTCTTCTATAGTTTGATGGGAATGAGTCAATTTGGTAAAACTGATTTCAATTTGTGCACGCACCTCATTTACTTGGACTATCGATCCATACTAGCAAATGGACTTACTACTTATGATGACGACCATCTCAAAATGCTACGCAATAAATATCCACATTTGAAGGTGAGTTTTCGTTCTTCAAAAATTGTATACATATTTAATCAATGTCTGTAATGATCAGTCGTTCGAACGTCAGTGGCTTAAATCAGCCCGGTCTTCATTGATATCACGAAAGAGCATAGCCAAAAGTACTTCCATTAAAAAATCGAAAGTATTTTTCATCATTTAAAACCCGGTGATTTTCAACATAACTTCAAAAGTTGATAGGTTTTGATTGGTGCAAAAGAAACAAAAACACAAGTGTTCAGAACATAACAGTAAAAATGAAATAATTTGATAATCTCTCCATTAGATTTCCTTGGGCATTGTACAAGACGAGCAAACAATAACGGAAAAACAAAAGAATCTGATGGAACGTCTAAAGTTCGTTGATTATCTCGTCAGTCTGACTGTGAATCATAGCTTCGATGGACTGCACATAGGTTTAACATACGATGGCCCTACTTACAATGCGACCGGCGTTTCAACTTTGTTAAATGATCTTTCAATGAGCTTAAAACCGAAACAATTGTTGCTTTCATTTTCACCGATGAAACCGCCAGTGTCTCGTTCAAATGAATTGGACTCATTTGCGCCGATTGCAAATTATTTGGATTTCATGCACCTTCAATACTTCGGCAATATTGATGAAATGATCAAACTGGGTGTGCCACCTTCAAAAATTGTCATCGAAGTGGTGATTATAACAGGTCACTCTCTTCGACGTTCATTTAGTATTTTCGATTTCGATTCATTTAAATCGTTTTTACGATACGATGAAATTTGCGATTTGCTGAAGGGTGTCTCGATAAAACGGATATTCTATGACAATTTTGAGGAGAAGATACACGCCGACTACATTGATGAATCAGGTGATGGACGCTCAGTTCTGTTTGAAGATACCCGTTCGATTGCTAATAAAACCAGAAACGCGATGCGACGCAATTTGGCTGGAGTGGCAGTGTTTACAGCTGACGCCGATGATTCATATGGAAAATACCCCATCGGAGCCAATACCTTTGATGATTTCAAATCTGATGCGAATGTTGTAGCGAACATTCCGAATCAAAACACTCGTACCTATCCAATGCTTAGAACTGTTAATCAAGCAATCGTATTGGCACTGGACGAAATGGATCAACTACATATCCCCTACACTAAAACCATGGCGAGAAATCAAAACAGTTCGGACGCATTCAGTTGGGACATTTTTATTGGAAATTTAATCGATGCATTTTGATGCACATTTTTAAATTATCTTTTGCTTGAATAAATAATTTTTTCACAAAAAGAAAACACATAGTTTTGCTTTGATTTTATTACGCTTTGAAGTGATTCTCGTGTATCTCTTTCATTATCAACCTAAATGCTTGCAAGTAAGCACAAATGACTTAATTACGGTTCGTACTAAGCAACATTTTAATCTCTTTCTTTTAATTCGACATTTTTGTAAAGAAAATTGGTCACTAGATTGTAACGATATTGGTAAATGTTGGCGATAAAGCAATATGTATGTGTCGTTACATTGCAAAAGCAGTAATTGAGCGAATAAACAAGAGAATAAGAAGTAGAAAGACAAAAATTGAAAGAAAGAAGGAAAGAGATATGAACAAAGAGATAAAGAAGGGAGAGAAAGAGAGATAAACAGAGAGAAAGAGATGAAAAGAAAGGAAGAGACATAGAAAGAAAAGACTCGAGCGACTCAATTTGACAATATTTTCATAATTTCCAATGAAACAGCGCCTGTCTTCGATCATTAAAGAAACATACACCATCCGTAAAACAATCGGTCTTAAAATCTTTTGACACCAAATGACTGTCTTCTTTAATGTTTTTTTAATCGGCTCCAATTACCACATTCATGAATATTCCAAACTAACTTTCAATTCAACTTTGCCAGTTCAATTTTTTACAGAAAATCAATGCGATTTTTTCAAAAATATAAAATAAAAAAGATGCGTCTTAAAATATGCGTCATGTGTTTATTTTATAAGTATAAGATTCACAAAAGTCATTTTCATAAACAAAAACAAAATTGAGATAACCCTTTAAATCGTCCAAGTTCATGGAAGAATGAGAGACAAATGAAATTGTGTGAAACACAGTAAATCAGTCACAGACAATGAGGGAGACAAATTATACGAACAAACTACATTGATAAGACTTGCTTGTTCCGACAAAGCTTTGAAAATAGGATCGAACGAATAATAATAGAAAGAGAAAAATAGGCTTTACGCGACAATGTTAACTGACTCATCTCACAACGGATACTTACTCACAAAAGGCGATGTTCTGATATCTATTGACACGATTGTACAAAAATAACGGAGCGTTTACGCACATATGGAAATGTCCACCAAAGCACGTTAAGTTTGCTTCTGAAAACAAGAGATAGAATGATTTTTCTTAAATGAATAAGTTTTCCTTCAGAACAAAAATGCATGAAAACGCCGCAATACTGTCAATTTTTGGCCTTGAAGAGCTAGTTGAAGAGTACTTTATGGAGATTGGAGAAAGGTCTTATCAACCATGAAATATAAAGATGATTGAAAAGAAGCTAATTTCAAAAGTTCCCTTCAGAGTAATACAAGTACATTCTGTATAGCTAAATGCTTTCTCGAACCGAAAATAAACTGCACAAAAAAGTCTGAACTGAATCTAACTGTGAAATGAACGCCAAATGAATGTAAATTATGTGCATTCAACTGTCCGTTTTAGATAATTTATTCATTCAAATTCAAGTCCAACGATATATGTATATTTTTAGCCGATAATCACTGCATTGAAGCAAGTTTTATCACAAATTCAGTTCATTCAGCCGTTGAGTTGGGTGTTAATTGATAGTAATTTTCATATATTAAAATGATTGTAAGCAAACAACATAATAACGATTGCAAATACAAATTCGTTGATTTCTGCGAAATTTTCATGAATGGCACTGGGGTTTGCGACAATTCATTTCGGACTCATCTTAAAAATACTTATACCACACTAGGTCAAAGTGTGTAAAAGACTAGGTATGCGAAAAGTAAAATACATCAGTTAGTAAATTTCAGATCAAATAGTTAGACAAATCATTCTAAAAATCATGATTTGATGCATTCAAATAATTTGATTTAATTTGGTCAAGTCAATTTATTATTTGATTTTTTGCGAACTTTAATAAAATCATACACATTTTTCGGCTCGGTCACATGAATGTTCTTTTCACACTATTTCACAATATGTGATTAGCAAAAATAAAAGTGTGTCGAACAGCAGCTAAAAAAACCCATGTTTACCTAATTTCATGTTCGCCAATATCTTATCTTTTGATACACATATACCAGATTTGCGCGCGTGTATGGCATGTGATTTTTTGCTTTCCGTTCTACACTCAATCGCGCTTATCAATTGTTTTTGTTCGTGTGTCATTTATTCGTGGATCAACCCATACCATCGCAATAATACGTGTTATCAAATTAAATTAAAATTAATACAGTACGTTCATATGTGTATTGCTCTCGGTCGTTCTAATTCAACAACGAATTCCATTTAGTCATCATCTGACATTTGTCGTGATGCATTTCGTTCAGATATTAGTGTTTTGCAGTATTTTAGCGATTGTCGCGACAAAAACAGGTACATTCACTTGCATTTTAAGTCGAATTCACTTTTGATGGTATTTGTGACGTTTTTTTTAGGACCATCACATAATAAAATTGTTATGTGTCCGTTTTTTGCGACATCATTGCTCGCCACAAAAAATGAATCCAGTATTGAAAAGACCGATTTTAACCTCTGCACACATGCCGTTTGTATGATAACGTGGAATAGATTACAAGGTTTGCATTTTCACTAATTTTCATTGCCATCCAACGAATACAGTGTTAATAACAGCATGTTATCATCAAATTGATTTTGTTTTGAAATGTTAGACATGTGGACGATCGAGATTTTTTTTTAAAGGGAAAGTGTGATATAGAAGGGAACTCCATTAAATTATTTGTGAGAAAAGTGACTAAGTGTGACCATAGAAACTTTGTA